GAGAGAGAGAGAGAGAGAGAGAGAGAGAGAGAGAGAGAGAGAGAGAGAGAGAGAGAGAGAGAGGGATGAGCAAATGTCATAAAATTGGTAGTCTGAAATTGAATCTTAAGTGACCGAAAACAAAAAAAAAGGGTCACCCGTGAACTGCAAAGCCTGGTGATAAAAATACACAGGAGGTGAGATCGTCTCACCTTCATCCCATGACGACGAAACAGGACGCAAGCAGGAAAAAGAACCTAAAAAAAAAAACCAAAAAAACATTTTATTTGCCTTTGGCGATACTGTGAACGAAAGCAACACATGCTCACCCAGCTACAGAGACGTGTGGCATAGGGCAATGTCGGTCCTTTTGGAACCACAACCGGGCACAAAGCAAGCACAGACGAGAAACTACGGAGGGGGCACTAGGCATTCCTGGTATGGCGGCCCGAAAGAGGGACAAAGGTCCGCGCCTTCGCCTGGCCACTCTCTTCCGGACGGCCGCGTCTACCGGTCTCGTATAGCCTTCGCTATCTCCATCAGCGCGTGACACATCATCTTGCTCACTTCATCCGACGCCACATAGTGTTTCGCTGTTTCTTCTTCACCTCCACCTCCACTTCCAAAGCTTCACACTGCCGAATTTGGATGGAGCACTGCCTCTTGCTAGCGCTCTACAAGGTCGATGCCATTAGCGTCCCGTGCTTCTCCATACACTCGGTGAGGGGTTCGAAAGTCTGTTATCTCATGTTCTTCCTCTTCCTGAAATCGCCAAGGCTGCCCGTGGTCTTTGGACAACCCCTCGTCGAGTTGTCGTCTTTGTCGTTGCCATCGCCACCCACATCCACATTGCCGACAGATTCAGGACCGCCCGAAGACCCGGATGGAAGTTGCACACCTCCTGCTCCATCCGTGTCTGCGATATTTTGCGGGTGTATTGTGTGACGCTTTGAGGTCAATCCCTTGATCTCATCGTAGACGGCCCAATCCATGGTGAAATGGAACCCCCTCATCAGCCTCTCCTTTGCCGACAACCAGAAGAAGTCTTCCTTCCCAGACTCTTCCTGGAACAAGTGCACCTTCTTGAACTGCTGCATCAAATTAGCCCACTTCTTCCCGCATTTGTCTGTCGGCCCACCAACCTTCAACAACCTCTCGCGAGAGTCCGCCCACTTCCATTCCCTCGGCCAAATACAAGCGAATGCGTGGCCCGACCCCTGCGGTTGCGCATCCTGGTCCCCCTTCGCCCCGATGAGGGCGACCATTTGCTCCACCAACCAGAAGTTTCGGCCACCCTTCGCCTCCCCATCATCTTCAGCCTCGCCACCCCCACCCACCGCCTTCTTTCCCCGCCGGCCTGTCGACGCACAAGCCTTGCTCTTACCCCCCCGACCGCCCATGCTAGTCGTCCGCAACGGGAACACGTCGCCTGTGTCGTCGTCCTGTGTGTCGCACTCGCCTTCATCGTCGTCTTCGTACTCGTCGCCTCCCACGACTGGCCCGTCTGCCTCGAATGCCCGCTCCCCCACGCGCAATCGCTGCACCCCCTGGGTTATTGATTCCTCTTGCTGTGGATGCATCTCCAGCCGGTGTTCCTTCCACACGCGCCTCCCATCTCGTTCGACACCCCCGCTTGCAAAGTCTTCGTCCATCGGCCCGCACTCAGATGCACGTCGGGGCTCGCAGCAACCTCCCGACAATGGAGACGGGGACTGCATCCACTGTGGACGACCGACGCCACCGTGGGCTACTAATGTCATCGACGACTGCACTCTCGGTCGCTGCCTCCTGTTATCCGACGCCTCCCATCCCACGGACGCACCCTTCGCAGTAGAGCCAACCAATGTGGCCTGTCCTGCGTCGTCGTCAGGGTGAGGGTTCACGAGGACTGTCCGTGTGGCGGCCGATGAACTCCCGCTACCTAGCCTGAATGACAAATTAAGGGCACCATCAACGTCGTCTTCGCGGATGCTTTCCTCCAGGAGTTCAGTGTACGACTGCCTGTACGTGCTACGATGCCGAACTCACGACTGGCTGCCCGCCCAGTCCTGGCCCCTGGGTGGACCCACTACCCAGTGCCAGTGGGACTGTCTATGACCGAGCTTCGTCTGCCTCCCCATCTCGCGAGTCAGGTAGAGGTTACTTGTGCAGTTGGAGGTGCGAGTAGTCTGACGGGTCGTGCGCCCTTGTAAAGTGAGTAGTGTCGTGGCTGGGGCGGTGGTTTGCGTGTTGTTCGGATGACGTCCTCATATTCGCGTGTCGTCCATCCATGCTGATGTGCTTCTTCGCCGATCGTCTCTTGCATGTGCGACCGGGCACCCGACCCAGGATGCAGATATGGAAGACGATGAGAAGGAGAAGCAAAATGACGACCAGGACAAGAAGTGACAGCCTTCGGAATACGTCGGTTATGAACGACACGTGGGGACGGGCATTAAACAGATAACGACAGCGCACCTCCAGCAAACGGCAAAGCAGACGGCAGCAAATAGCAGACGGCAACATCCGACAAAAAAATGCCCTCTACCGATTTACATTGCAGTCCGCGGTCGGTGGCAAGAACGCTTGTCAGCTGACATATTTGAAATTGTCGACCGTTGGACCCTTCTCTGTTTGGCGCCGGGAAGCGCGAGGGACTGCGAACGCCTGGAAACATTCGCGGAGGCCGGCCGCTATGTAACCGTTTGAACGCCGTGAACGCGCGTTCGCGTTCAATTCCGCGTTTGAACGCGGATTTAAATTCATGTTCAAAATTGAACGCCGATCTTTTTTTTTTTTTTTTTTCAAGAACGTCTCTCTCTCTCGCTATGGATCCCTCTCTCTTTCTCTCTCTCTCTCTCTCTCTCTCTCTCTCTCCCACTCTCTCTTTCTCTCTCTCTCTCTCTCTCTCTCTCTCTCTCTCTCTCTCTCTCTCTCTCTCTCTCTCTCTC